TATGGCAAAACTCATGGTTGAATCATGGTGCGGGGCTGGCCCAGGTGGGGGGAAATAGTGCAGCACAGCTTCCAGAAAAACAGTTGCTTTCAAACTAGGGATTTTGTGCCTAATTGATGTAAGACAGTAATTCTGCTCATAGATTATGCATGTATGAACTACACATTGACACTTCCAGCCCACTACTAAAAAATACTTAGTAGTTGCCAAAGTTCTGAAGCATGTCTTTAAAGTCAAAAGGTTTGACAGCAATGCCATAAAATTCAAGTCAGTTGGGAACAGGTCTTTGATGTCCCAATACATTGGCATCGGGTCTATGAGATATATAAAATAACAATTGACACATCACTCCATTAGTTTCAATTTAAGCTATTATATAAAATACTTTCTACAAAAAAAATGCTCAATATATACAGCATTGAACAGTCTGACCGGTGCAGCCTCGAGGAAACAGAATCAATAGAGCATCTTTTCTAGCACTGTCCATTGGTGGCTCGCTTTTGGAGTCAGGTCCAGGAATGGTTATGTCATAAAATCAGGGTTCAGATGGACCTGCTAAATACTGCTGGGGGATCTGAAAAACCACGATCAGTCAATGTGAAATATCATTATAGTCTTAGGTAAAGTATTTATTTTATAGGGCAATATCGGTAGAAATCTTACAAATAGTGAGGTTCAAGAACCTCGTAAGACATCACAGTAAAAGGGAGGGATGTATTGCAAAAGGAAATAGCAAAATGGTATTATACTGGGAAAGATTGGTTAATCTGTGGACATCGGAGGGTTGGAGTTAAAATCAAAATTCATGGTGCATTGGCCGCTGTGAGTGAAAATCCAGCATTTGCAGAAAGAGGAAATGTGGGATATACAAGTACGTATAATTATTTAACTACATGTACCGTACATGAGTGAAATTAGCTGTAAGTAGCAGTACAAGTTTTGTTGTATGTTAGTTTACTCCAATCAGGGGAGGGGTGTAGGGTTAAACAATTATAATACAGTGGATTAGAAATTATAAAAACAATTAAATTGATAGAACCCTAAATCTATCTGCAATATTAAAGCTGATCTACACCCTAGTCCTCCTTTTGATTTGTTGTTAAATTCCAGACTAGGACGGATAAGTCCACAAAATGCAACATCCTCCCCAAGCATAGAAATGACCCCTATACCAAATACCAAAATGTACTGCAAAGGCCAAAGACAGGAAGATAACATTTCTCACCTCTGTGTCCCATGCAGGCACTATACTTAGACACCTCAGAGTGGGGGTCCTTAGGATGACAGCCACTGGCCTCTGGATGTGGGAAGTTGTTTGGTGTCTCTGAAGTTCCGCAGTCTGCAGGGAGTGTGTATGCTCCATGGCAGTGGTCTGAAAGGCGACCCTGAGGGGCCATGGTATGGAGTGGGGATGTCTGGGGTGGGTGCTGAGAGTCACTGTCAGGGTTCAGGACACTGGAGGTCCCAGGGTTACAGAGTACAAGTGTTCCATCTTGGAAGGCACCATCCAGAGATGTAGGGAGGTTACTGATGTCATTCTCTCCCCCCACTGCAGTGCTGTCTTTGGTCTGGACCTTGGCCTTGACTGTGGTGTGTTAGAGAGAAGGAATGAAAAACAAACAACAGATGTTCATTGCTTATATTCTAGTGAACCTACCATATTAATGCAGAACTTGTACACAATTCCCTCCCACACTGACATTAATAATAAAAGCAAAGAATGCACTGTGCCTTTTCCATTCACACCAAGGACAGAGCTCTCCCCCCCCTCCCAGGCAGCTCTAGTCTTGGTCCCCAGCAAGCTGCCCCAGCTGAGCCCCAGCACCAGGAGGTTGTAGAGCAGACTGACAGCCCCCATCACCGTGGCCAAAAGAGGGTGCTGTATAGGGTGGGGCTGCAGGGTGTGGCTGAGGATCTCCAGAGAGACAGAGACACACAGGGCAGCCAGCAGGAGGGCTGAGATCAGAGCCCCCAGGGGCTGGACCCTCGCCTCGCTGTAGGACAGGCCACACAGGGAGGCCAGAGGGGTGAGGCGTCGGGGGAAAGGGTTGGTTGGAACAGACAAGGTGGGATGGGGATAAGAGGTGTCGTGGTTGGAATCAGAGTGGTCAGGGGAGAAACAATGGGTGCTTGTAGGGTCAACATACTGCAAACGAGAGGTGAGAGGTTTGGAGGTAAACTGGGAAGTGGTGGTGGGGACAGGCGTTGAGAGGGAAGGAGAGGGACAGGGAGTTGAGTTGGAGGGGATGGGGGAGACACAGGAGGTGGCTGGGGCATAGGGGGGAGATTTGACAGGTGACTGAGTGGGGGTGGAGGTGATGGGGGTGGAGAGAGGGGAGGCAGGTGTGGGTTTTGGGGGGCCTCTACCCAGGGTGGGTTGAGGAAGAGGAAGAGCCATGTGCATGAGGATGAAGAGGGTGTGGAAGACGTCCACCATGGTGATGAGGGAGTTACAGAGGCGGCTGACAACAATCTCACACAGCAGGAGCAGGAAGGTCAGGACCAGCATGCATTTGTGCAGGGAACTGCTCGCCATCTCACCTGTCAGAGGATACAGACACACGAAAAAAAGTGTTGTGCTCGATATTGATGGAGCAGTACATCAGATGCAAGTTAATGTAATCATTTTATAGAGGTCTGTAAAAGCCAGGATTTTCTATCAATGTTTACTGCTGCAAATGTTATTTGGTTACCCAAAGTACAACATACACTCTTAAAAAAAGGGTTCCAAAAGGGTTCTTCGGCTGTCCCCATAGGTGATCCCTTTTTGGTTCCAGGTAGAACCCTTTTGGCTTCCATGTATAACTGTCTGTGAAAAGGGTTCTACATGGAACCCAAAAGCGTTCTACCTGGAACCAAAAAGGGTTCTCCAATTCTCCTATGGGGACAGCCGAATAACCCTTTTAGGTTCTAGATAGTACCTTTTTTTCTAAGACTGCACTGATAGAAACAAAGTTACAAACCAGGCAAATTCTGTAACCTTTAGTTCTACCCAATCTGCCCTGTGCTATAAATGGACAACTTTGATTTGAAATGTTTCAAAGGAGCTTTAGCACCTCTCTTGTTCAGTGGAATGTGTTACCTTGCAATGGTCCAAACCAAACTCACTAATACTCTAGCCTAGCTGATCCTAAGAAGTCATATAGGAATTAATGTTTCACAGTATTAATGGAATTAATGTTTCACAGCATTAATAACCTGCTTGGCACGCACACACGCACGCGCGCACACACGCACACTACCATATGAAATGTGCTCTGACTGAAATACATAAATCAAAAAGTGAAAAACAATTAACGGTAGCCTAATGCAATGAGAAAGGATGTGCTCTAAAATCAGAGCAATTAAAAGTAGGCTAGTCTGACGACAAAAAAACTATCTTCCAAATGGTTTGCCACTATGACTTTTAAATGGTGTGAATGAATATTTATATGATTGTTTTAGAGTTTCTTTACCTTTGATGCGCGGTAGATCACAAGCGTCAAATAATCACCCGGTAAATGGCAGCGAGATAATACCTGCACATTTGCGCGCCGAATTAAAAAGTTTCTTCATGTGTTCTGTGCTCCGTTATTCTCTCTCTCTTTCTCTCTCTCTCTTTCTCTCCCACGCCCACCAAACTCCCAGGTTATAATCGCTGTCATGTGAGGGGATTCGCTCTCATCATCCTCTTCATTTATCCCGTCTGCTGTCCCATTCCCTTGTGGGGGTCAAGAGGAAAGCCCACCCACCCATTTAACCCGTTACTGCCCACACGTCAAGAAAAGGTGATGCTGAGTGAAAGTAATTTAACCTGAGCAAAGATTATACTATACTGAACAAAAATATAAAAGCAACATGCAACAATTTCAACGATTTTACTTAGTTAAGGTTCATATAAGGAAATCAGTCAATTTTAATTAATTAATTAATTAGGCCTTAATCTATGGATTTCACATGACTGGGCAGGGGAGCAGCCATGGGTGGGCCTGGGAGGGCATAGGCCCACCCACTTGGGAGCCAGGCCCACCCACAGGGGAGGCAGGCCCAGCCAATCAGAATTAGTTTTTCCCCACAAAGGGGCTTTTTTACAGACATAAATACTCCTCAGTTTCATCAGCTGTCCGGGTGGCTGGTCACAGACGATCCCGCAGGTGAAGAAGCTGGATGTGGAGGTCCTGAGCTGGTGTGGTTGTACATGGTCTACAGTTGTGAGGCCGGTTGAACGTACTGCCAAATTGTCTAAAACAACATTGCAGGCGGCTTATGGTAGAGAAATTAACATTACATTCTCTGGCAACAGCTCTGGTGGACATTCCTGTAGTCAGCATGCCAATTGCACGCTCCCTCAAAATCTGTGGCATTGTGTTGTTTGACAAAACTGCACATTTTAGAGTGAACTTTTGTCTGCAGCACAAGGTGCACCTGTGTAATGATCATGCTGTTTAATCAGCTTCTTGATATGCCACACCTGTAAGGTGGATGGATTATCTTGGCAAAGGAGAAATACTCACTAACAGGGATGTAAACAAATTTGGGCACAACATTTGAGAGAAATAAGCTTTTTGTGCGTATGGAACATTTCTGGGATCTTATATTTCAGCTCATGAAACATGGGACAAACACTTTACATATTGCGTTTATATTTTGGTTCAGAGTATATAGTATCAATAAGAATAAAGCTGTGTCATAAGGTCTGGGGGAAAGTTCCTAATAATGTCATATTCATCATAAAAACTCCTTGTCATACTTAACCATGCTTGAGAGACCACATTTTGCTCTCGAAGACATGAGTGGAGTTTTGTGGCCACATAAATGGCATCCCTCTGCTACGGTTCTAAGTCTTGATGGTTGTGATGAGACAAACGACAGACACTTGAGTCCAACTCAAGATTTATTGATGACCGGTCAGCAAGAGAAGCATATGAATAGCATACAAACTTCAAAATACATGTTAAATTACATCTTATATTCAGCAAGCTAGCGACTTTCCTTGGTCTCAGCCTATGGACTTCTTACAGAATTGTCCAGGTTTGTCTTGTGATGGTCATGCTGACATGCCATCAGCCAATGACACACAAATAGGAGGCTTAGATATTATGCTATTACATACAAAGGAGAACCTTTAGATTGAGAATATAATTTCACCATCCCATGAGCACCCTATACTGGATACATACCAACCCACATGAGCACCACAAACTGAAACACACAAACCCATCCCTCTGTAATCGAGTGAGAATTCCAACCCAACCTGGTTGCGAACTCACAACCCTCTCCTACCGCTCCATCCATGCCAGTGTAGATGCAGCGGTACCAGAGCCCAATCTCAGACAGCTCCTCCCTGCCTACGTGCAGGAGCTTGGTGCAGTCCAGTGGACAGTGAGCCAACAGGCTAGATGAGGGTTGACACCACAGAAAAGTCCCTTTCTCTCTTATAGCAACACGCCTGCACATTCCTCAGGCCCTGCTAAGCCCAAGGAAAGGCATGGAGAGGAAACATTTGATCACTTGCCACTGTCCTTATAAAGGTTGAATAGTTGGATCCTACAGATTTTATGATCGTTTGATGAAAGAGAATAAGGTATGGGTGGCGTCAGCCAGAGTAGCAGATTATTAGATAGCATGTTATCCCTCACATACATTCTCAGGTTACAGCTGTTTTTCAGCATTGCCGTCACACTCAAACCAATCTTTTCAAAATGCAAACTGAATCTGTGTCCAGTGGTTGGTTAATTGACAACTTGTATAATATTACATAATACAAGACATAGCATAATATATAATAACATCAACAACAATGTGGATTATTTGTTGATCTATAAACCTAGACAGTATATTACTCCAAACAGCCTTCCCAGCACCTGTCGATTCTATGGGACATCTGTGGATGTGCATCATTTCCCTCTACCCTATGAGCACAAGATGTTGACAATATGTATTTTCAACGTCTTGTGCTCAATGGGTATGTCATCACAGTTATGACAGTGATGTTTGGGTATGATGTCTGCAGTGGTGGAAAAAGTACCCAATTGTCATACTTGAGTAAAAGTCAAGCTACCTTAATAGAAAATGACTCAAGTAAAAGTGAAAGTCACCCAGTAAAATACTACATGAGTATAATTGCTAAAATATACTTAAGTATAAAAAGTAAAGGTAAAAGTATAAATAATTTCAAATTCCTTATATTAAGCAAACCAGACGGCACCATTTTCTTGTTTTTTTTTAAATTTACAGATAGCCAGGGGCACACTCCAACACTCAGACATAATTTACAAACAAAGCATACTGTATGTGTTTAGTGAGTCCACCAGATCAGAGGCAGTAGGGATGACCAGGGATGTTCTCTTAATAAGTGCGTGAATTGGACTATTTTCCTGTCCTGCTAAGCATTCAAAATTTAACAAGTACTTTTGGGTGCCAAGGAAAATGTATGGAGTAAAAAGTTCATTATTTTCTATAGGAATGTAGTGAAGTAAAAGTTGTCAAAAATATAAATAGTAAAGTACAGATACCCCAAAACACTATTTAAGTAGTACTTTAAAGTATTTTTACACCACTGGTTCCCAAAGGGAATCATTAACCAGAACGGACACACAAGACAGAATGAGTCTGGTCTGTCCACTGACACCCAAATAGTTTAATAGCTAACACTGCTGACCCTTAACTTTCCAAGACAACCAAATTGGTTTATCAACTAGACACGAGATTGTTGACCTGTTAATGTTTATGGCACATCTTCTCTGTCCGACTACAGCAGTGTCAACCACAACACTAGTACTAAACACAGCGGAGAAACACTGTTGACACTGTGCAGGTGGCCCATTGGGTTTCTGTCTTACAAATGCTACACAATTAATCACCAACACAACAACTGGGGCATATACAGTAAATAATAATAATAATAACAATGATGAAAACATTTAATTTGTATAGCACTTTTCATTACAGAAACTCTTATCAGGGAAAATAAATAAATATACAAAATACAACAAAAAAAACAGTGGGCCAGCAATCTAGGCTATGAAAAATACATTCTGTAAAAGTGTGTTTTAAGGCCCATTTCAGTTCTCATGGATGGAGCGGCTCTCAGATGGTCAGGGAGAGCATTCCATAGGTGAGGGGCGAGGGAGCGTGAGAGCATGAGGGCTCGGTCCCCCATAGTTTGGAGACGTGTATATGAACCAGGCAAGGTAACAAACATCAAACCAAGAGACACGAGAAATTAGGAAACCCTTTATTTCAACCAAGATTATACACAAAACCCATAAATGCAGTAAAACGTTAACACAAATAAACAAAAACAAGAGACATTCAAACCTTCATAGCTAGTTTAGAAGAATACATTATGAGATGTAGGTGAATGTACAAAACACCACAGATCACAATGTTGCACAATGTCATTGCTTATATGATTTACCTCATAAGTCTGTCTGTGCTCTAAAGACAATACTAATGTATTTCAGGTGAGGTGTACTGGGAGCAGAAACCCACTGCACTACTACTAGGTTTACTGAAATGAAAGGTAAACGGGGAAGCTGAGAAAAGCAGACTTAGAACTGAAGGTCACTTTTAATTAGTTTTCAGTGTTGCTTTCATTGTGGATTTAAGCCTTTTCATGGGTGGCAGTTTGGGCTGGGGAAAAGAAGAACAAAGGAAATACTTGCATAGATACATTAGGAAACATGAAGGAAAAATAGCTATTACATGTTAACAAGTGTGTTGAGTTAAGTTTATTCCAGAAGGTCCTGCCCTTATTAGTCTCTCTATCCAATCAGATCACACGTGTCTACTGTACAGAAAGAGAATGGTCCTTAATTGTATTTTTACCCTCTATAATTTAGGGAGCATTGGAGATGCTGAGTTTGGCTTATGAAGTTTATGTTTAAGGCTTTCTCTAGCCGCCTCTCCTTTCCTCACTCTCTTTCTCTAGCTCATGATCTTTCTTCATATAAGCGGCTGGGGGTGGGAGGGCGGGGTTGGATTAGTATTGGCTGGAATTCCTTCAGAACAGAATTAGTAATAAAAAGAGAACACAATCCCCTCGCCCCATGAGCCTGTCTCGGGGGGTGGTCGGTGAACTGCCTCACCCCTCAACGTCCCATCTTACAGTTTGGTCACATTTTGGAAAGTTCCGATAGAGCCATGTCATGCCATCCCCTGAAATCTAATGCAAAGACAGACCTTTTGAGTCTTGACATAATAGAGGATAACAATATCCTTACCAGAATAGTACTGAATGCTTGGCCAAGATGCCACTTCATACTTCAAGTATGCCATGTCATAGTAGTACGGAATCGCTGATCCGAGTGGTCTCAAAAGTGTATATTTTTTAGAACCATCTCTATATCAGTACACGTCCTATGGGCAAAAATAAACATGGAACAATTGGGAGAAAAAAAAAAGATAGAAATCCATAGAATAAATGGAAATGAGATCAAAACAATGCCAAGCATCCAAAACAGATCCAGTTCTCTCAATACTTCTCTTGAAAGAGGGGTCACTAGTCTGACCAAACTATCTGTCAGCTCTTGTACTGGGCCTTGGACTGGTATGCCAATCAGATGTCCACTATTGTTATTGTAGTTCCACATTGTGTCCGTGGATTCTATGTGAAGTGGTTTTTAGATCTCTGACAGGTAACATGTAACCCTCTTACGTTAACCCTCTTAATTCCTTCAATACAAAACAGTATCACCTTGCCTAATACAACTCAGACCAGGACACATCCCCCTCAGGACAACACCCATTGAGATACACAGTATTCTTATTCCATATCCATGACGTCACCAGAGAACATCATACCAACCTGATACCAACAAAGGTGATAAGTCATTTTGTCTCTCACTCTATCCATCCCTGCATTCCTTTTCTCTCTAGTCTGGTTCTAATGTCTCAAAGCTCCAGAATTTGGTAAACGTAGGTTAGAACCCTCTTGGAGCAGGCCTATGAAACACTACCAAAGGCCTCCTACAAAGACATCTTAACTTGAGTCTCTATAAAACTGCTGTGCTGTGACATTGTCAGTTGAAGCCATACCATTTCCTTCCTCTTATAGAAAGCAGTTTTAGGTCCATGCCATCTTGACCAATAAATTCCTCTTCTCTGCATTTGAATACATAGAATATAGCCATTGGCGAATTCACTTAAACATACAACAACAACAAAAAGAACCGTAGAGAAACATTATGGAAACACTAGCAGCATTTAATTTGCTTGGTGATGGGATGATACTAACCAGCGGAATAGCAGTGCAGAACAGACTTTCAGACCTACAGTACTTTGTCCTAAATATGATGGTCCGTCAAATTAAATATTTTCTGAAAATTCCCAATCATTTCCATGCAGAATATCCAATAAATCAATGCAGTTCCCAAAGAGAGTATTTTCAGTGAAACACTCCCAGTCACTTCATTTAGTCATTACATGCATTTATTTGAGAGAGAGAGGAACCAAACATTTGCCATACATATCTTTGTGATTACCAGCACATTTCGATTAATTTAACTAATAATTAAAAATGACAAAAAAATTAAAGCATTACAAATAGTGGGGACAGCACAGCAATGATGATTTGAGCTGAAAAACAACCTGGTTGACCAGCGGAGACAGAACAGTGATTGAGACAAGGGGCTCTATTCAAACAAAACCTATATACAGAGGATCCCGCGGCTGAGACAAACCTGTATTCTTCTTGCACTGTAAGAAAGCACCTTTTTGCCTTAACCTGGAATCTTCTAGATTCCAGTTGAATAGGGCCCTTGGTACCAGGCCCATAGGTTCAGTGTTGGGCATTCAGGCTCACGTATGTCCCCAGATGGTATAAGACAGAGGGACCCCTGTGTTCACTCAAACTTTCACCCACCTCTTTGTGTTCATATCAATGTCCTCCTGGCCTACAAGAGTCTTTAGCAGTAGCTGCTGTTGGGTAATATATATATGTAGAAAGGAAAACACCAATAGCCCCAGCGCCCCCAGGTGGCCATAGCTTTGCCTAGTAGTGTTTGAGATGAAGTCTCAACACAGGGACAGTCTCTCAGTCAGTGTGTTATCAGGGTGATGTGAACCATCACTCACGCTGCTCCTCCTTAGGAAAACGTCCTTTTTTGTTTATTTCGTAACTGCACTCTCCCCCCTCCCTCTTGCCATATCTGTTGATCCCTCCACCCAGCATAGTCTCATTTAACCCATATTCCCCCCCCCCCCCCCCCCCCAAAAAAAAACGTTCAACGTAATAATTGCTCTAATTTGAATCTGAAATATACACCAAAAAGGGGAAATCTTTAAAAGCAAACCCCATGAAAAATAACTAATAAAAAGATGGAGAGAAGGGGAGAAAATAAATCACAGGAACAAAAGGCTCATAACTATAAAATAAATACAAACAACTGATTTCTCCAAGCAGCAAAACAAGAGATGAAATTAAACCTAGCAGAGTCGAAGGCAACATTTATCCTGTGTTGAGTTGGGAAATAAGATGGCACAGAGTTGTACCAGCAAAAGACAAAGAAAGAGGGAGGACTTGAGAGAGAGTAAGAGACAGTCAGAACTGCTTTTTTCTTTATTCTCCTATTGAGTGTCACACTACATTTAATCACTCTGGTCAGACAAACCAAAAATCCATCTGGAAAAGAATGTCTGTGATAACTGTCAAGTTGAGAAAAAAAATAGAAAAAAAGGGTAGACTTTCTCCGTAATGAACTGCATTACTCCGTCAAGGCAGACATTTTGTTATCCAACATTTACAGAGGTTTCCAGAAAGCTTTAGATTAGAGTAACTCCGCTATCTGATTCTTAAAGGAAACCCAAAATAATTTGTGACAGACAGTGTGCTTTTGGCAGATGACAGATGGTTTGGGTGTTCCAGAATGTTACTGGAGAGACACTGGAGGGGACGATTCCTGAGGGGCCCAAAGTGAACAGAGAGGAAGGAACAGAAAAGAAAGCGGTCAATTTGGCAGAGATCCCTTACGAGGTGGGGGGACAGATAAAACTGTAACACACAAACACACACAAAACAAATGCCTTTCCCTGTGACGCCTTCCTTGGTTATAAAACCCTCTGTGCCCAACTGTCATTGTCAGAGAATGACACACTAAAAGCCAGTGGGTCCTCTTGTCTGGGCCCCACACTGTCACACACACAGCTGTGCACACTCATTCCTCCAGCAGGTTTTGTGTCTGTGTGCACCCTCAGGAACACATGTCGGGGTGGAGCAGGGGGTGAGCAGTGTGTCCTATGTCTTTGGTTAGCGCAGTGATAAACCCCCTCCTTCCCTCTCGTTTTCTCTCTACCTCTTTCTCATCTCCCTCCCCCCAACTCCCTGCAGTGTGGTTTCCTGATTGACGGAATGTAGTGATAGGCAAAAGGTTAATGAGATTTTCTTCCATTCTTCTTTTTAACTTTCTTTACAATATAGTGCGTGTGTGTTTCGGTTGAAGTTGTAGTGAATTCCTTATATGCTGTGATGAAGCTCAATTTTTTTTTTTTTTTTGTGTCTTAAAAAAAAAAATCTAGGTGTATTACTTAGATGACAACTGGTCCTCCGTCTTCATAGAGAGGTGGTGGTGATGAGTTCGTGGTAACGACAACAAAAAAATGGTAGGAGCAACAAGACGAGTCACCGAGACACAGACAATACGAGTCCTGTGTTCCTCTCTCCTACAGAACCACTGCAGAAGAAACAGAGACGGTCAACATTAGAGCACACATTGGCCGATCTATGTCAAATAATAAAATGCCACAAATGTGTCTAGTGTGTGTGTACTGTACATTGTAAAGAGATCCAGGAGATGAGTTAGTGTAGGTGTACCATGACTATGGTGAGTTTCTCCCAGTCTCCAGGCTGGCCTCCAGCAACAGCTCCTCCAGGTCCTGACCACAGCTCAGTTCTGCTGTCACACTCACTGGAAAATACACACACACTTTCTGTCAGACTGTGTGTGTGTGTGTGTGTGTGTGTGTGTGTGTGTCTGCGAGTGTACTATGTGTAAAGTGTATGCATGTGTCGGTCACACCCCTGTTGTCCCACTACAGACAGGGTGTTCCTCACCGTTCTCCATCACACAGCTGCCACGCCCAGCCTTGGGGCCCTCGGGGTCCAGCAGGTGAAGGGCGAACTCTGGCTTCAGGCCGTTGGGCAGGGCTGAGCCCACCACCTCCTCCACTCCCCCCACGCTCTCCCCCTCGTCCGTGGAGCTCTCGTCTGGGGACTCCTCTACCTTGGGAGGGGAGCTACGGCCCTCCACCTCCCGGGAAGTGTCTGTCTCGGCTGGAACAGGTGAGGGCTCGGCGGGAAGGGTGGTCTGAGATTGACCCTCTGGTTGAAGAGGCTGCTGCTGTAGTTCCTCTAGAACAGGATGTTGTTGTTGCTGCTGTTCCACCTGCACAGGAAGTGCCTGTTGTGCTAGTTGCTGCTGCTGCTCCTCTGACAGATACAGTTCCTGTTCTGCTCCTGCTACACTCTCCGTGGCTCCCTGCTCCGAGGGACTCGCTGGCGCCACCTGTTGCTGTGCCTGTGGAAGTGTCTCTGCCGGTTCCTGTTGTGGGGGCAGAAGCTCAGAGTCTGGCTGCACTGTTTCAGGCTGTGACGGGAGCGGTGCTGTTAGAAGCAGTCTCCCCAGGGGCTTAGTGTTAGTCTGTGTAGCTAGCTGAGGCGCTAACGGTTGATGAACTGTGTCACTAGTCTGTTCCGGACTCTGTTCCTGCTGTGGAAGCCTTTCCGACTGCATCTCATCTTCCTCCTCTCTGTTGGTTTGAGACTGTTCACAAAGTGTCTCTTCTACTGGGTCCTCACTCTCCTCCTTTTCCACAACCACCACCTCCTCCTCTCCTTCCAGCACAGCTTGCGTGGACTGCTGCTCAACAGCAGATTGTTCTAGCTGGGGCCCTGTAGTTGTCTCTACCAGCTCCTCTATCTGTTGGGGTGATGCTTGTGTTGCTGCTGCTACTTCTTCTGTAGGAAGGGAGGGTGTGTGTGATGGTTGGGCTGCGGTTACTGGGCTCTGCTCTGCCAGTACAGGTTGTGAACTGTCTAGAACGCCCTCTACTTCCTCCTCTGTGGGCTGGGTTAGGAGGTTGGATGGTAGTTCTAGCGTCTCAGCCGGGTCTTTGGGAGTCTCTACCACAGTCTCCTCTGAAGGGGGTTGCTCTGGCGCATCAGGACTCGGCTCCATCTGTTTAGGATCGATTGTCTGTGGTTCGTCTGAACTCTGGACCAGCTCCTGTGTCAGTGGTGTGGGCGTGGTCTGGGGTTGTGTGTGTTCTGCCAGGCTCTGTGTCACCTCCTCCTGTGTCAGTGGTGTGGGCGTGGTTCTGGGGTTGTGTCTGTTCTGTTCTCGCCTCCTCCTGTGGGGGTTGTGAAGGGGGTTGTGTGGTTTCCTTCACTAGTGATACCACTGGGTCCTTGGAGGGCTGGGGCTTGGTCAAGCCAATCTTCCCCAAGGACCTGGAACTGCTGCTGGTCAGGGGGGCTTTCTACTCTGGTCACCATGAAGATCTTGTGGCCCCTCCCGGGGCTCGACACAGAGATACAGCGGCCCGGCGAGGGAGGTGTACCGGGGGGCCCCGTGGACTCTGTGACGGTGATCCCTGAAATGACAGCCGCCGTAGCTGGTGGGGCAGAGGGGGTGGGGGGCGTCTGTGAGGCACTGAGGGGGTGCTGAGTTGTCGCTGCCCGGAGTGAAGGGCCAGTGTGTTTGGGGGCGGGGGAGACTGAAGGAGCTTTAGAGAGAACCACCTCTTCCTCCTCATCGTCGTCTGTGTCCGAGTCTGACTCCAACAGCAAAGGCAACACCACTCCCTCAGAGCTCGCTGCCGATTGGCTGTCAGTCAGGCTCTCAGTGTCTTTCACTCCTTCCTCACACTCATTGTCTTGCCCATCTTTTTCAACATGCTCGCCGGAATCAGCTCCATCCTCCTCTTCCTCTATGGTTCTGTCCTCGGTGGCGATGTCGGCCATGGAGGCCGAATGCATCTGCTGCTCGGTCTCCTCCTTCTCCTTGGCTAAGATGAAGTTCCGCTTGCAGCCGTTCTGGATCTCAGCCAGCAGGGAACGCTGCGTATCGATGAAGCTCTTCACCTGGGAGACAGACGGACAACACAGAGGGATGAGAACTAAAAGAGATCAGGGCTTTCTACGTTGATGTTCCCTGTCTACTCCAACCCTACTCCCCCCATCCCTACAAATTCATTTTTCCATTTATTTTCCTTAGACAACACAATTCATCTTGACAATTTATTACAAAGGACAACTTGCATACAGTCCCCCCTCCTCTCTGTACTTTTCCCCATCACCTCCCCTTCCCCACTTCCCCCTCTCTCACAGTCTCTTTCTTGGGCTCTCGGTCCAGGTCAAGGCGTAGGAGGGAGGTGTTGACTTTGAGGGCCAGGGAGAGGGCCATCAGGCCCCCCGTCTTGATCTCATTCTCCCTCAGGTCCAGACGCAGCAGCCGGGGGCTCTCAGCGATGAACTCTGCCACCGCCACGGCACCTGACATACAGAACGGGGGAGGAGGAGATACAGGGCTCAGCTCAATGCCTTTTCACACACTAACACCTCCATTTACATACAAAATGAGTGTTTTATTTTAAACCAACATTATTGTAATAGCTGTAAATAGCAAAATAAGGACACACCCACCCTCGCAGGACAGCTTGGTGGACGCCAGGCCCAGCCTGAGCACAGAGCGGTTGGTGATCAGACCGTCCTTCAGCTTGTGGACGCCCTCGTTCCCCACAGAGTTATGGCCCAGATTTAGGGTCTCCAAACTCTGAGTACAGGGCTAGAGAGCGAGAGAGAGAGAGAGAGAGAGCGAGAGCGAGAAACAGGTTTTACACATAGCATGGGATAGGGGGCAGCAAATATACTGTTACGTATGATGCAAAGTACAACACACTACCAATAGATGGCTGTATCCATCACTTTGTATATATACACACACTATATATACACAACCCTTAAAGAGTGGATTCGGCTATTTCAGCCCCACACGTTGTTGAGCACACAGCCATGCAATCTCCATAGACAAACATTGGGAGTAGAATGGCCTTACTGAAGACCTCAGTGACTTTCAACGTGGCACCGTCCTAGGATGCCACCTTTCTAACAAGTCAGTTCATAAAATTTCTGCCCTGCTAGAGCTGCCCCGGTCAACTGTAAGCGTTGTTTTTGTGAAGTGGAAACGTCTAGGAGCAACAACGGCTCAGCCGGGAAGTGGTAGGCCACACAAGCTCACAGAACGGGACACCGAGTGCTGAAGCACGTAGCGCGTTAAAACGTCTGTCCTCGGTTGCAACACTTACTACCGAGTTCCAAACTGCCTCTGGAAGCAACGTCACCATGCGCAATGCCAAGCGTCGGCTGGAGTGGTGTAAAGCTTGCCGTCATTGGACGCATTTTCTGGAGTAATGAATCACGCTTCACCATCTGGCAGTCTGACTGACAAATCTGGGTTTGGCGGATGCCAGGAGAACGCTACCTGCCCCAATGCATAGTGCCAACTGTAAAGTTTGGAGGAGGAGGAATAATGGTCTGGGATGTTTTTCATTGTTCGGGCTAGTTCCAGTGAAGGGAAATCTTAAAGCTCCAGCATACAATGACATTCTAGACGATTCTGTGCTTCCAACTTTGTGGCAACGGTTTGGGGAAGGCCCTTTCCTGTTTCAGCATGACAACGCCCCCGTGCACAAAGCGAGGTCCGTACAGAAATAGTTTGTTGAGATTGGTGTAGAATAACTTGACTGGCCTGCACAGAGCCCTGACCTCAATCCCATCGAACACCGTTGGGAAGAATTGGAATGCCGACGGCGAGCCAGGCCCCGCATCAATGTTCCAACATCTAGTGGAAAGCCTTCCCAGAAGAGTTGTGGCTGTTATAGCAGCAAAGGGGGGACCAACACCATATTAATACCTATGATTTTGGAATGAGATGTTCGACGAGCAGGTGTCCACATACCTTTGGTCATGTAGCGTACATACAGTGCATTTGGAAACTATTGAGACCCCTTGACTTTTTCCACATTTTGTTATGTTACAGCCTTATTCTAAAATGAATTATATACATTTTTTCCCTCATCAATCTGCACACAATACCACATATTAACAAAGCAAAAACAGGTTTTTATAAATGTTTGCAAATGTATTAAAAATAAAAAAAATGAAATACCTTGAATACATACGTATTCAGATCCTTTGCTATGAGACTCGAAATTGAGCGCAGGTGCATCCTGTTTCCAATGATCATCCCTGAGACGTTTCTACGACTTGATTGGAGTCCACGTGGTAAATTCAATTGGTTGGACATGATTTGGAAAGGCACACACACCTGTCTATATAAGGTTTCACAGTTGACAGTACATGTCAGAGCAAAAACCAAGCCATGAGGTCGAATTGTCAGTAGAGCTCCGAGACAGGATTGTGTCGAGGCACAGATCTGGGGAAGGGTACCAAAAAATGTCTCCAGCATTGAAGGTCCCCAAGAACACAGTGGCCTCCATCATTCTTAAATGGAAGTAGTTTGGAACCACCAAGACTCTTCCTAGAGCTGTCCGCCCGGCCAAACTGAGCAATCGGGGGAGAAGGGCCTTGGGCAGGGAGGTGACCAAGAACCCGATGGTCACTCAGACAGAGCTCCTACTTGGAAGAATCTCAAATATAAAATATATTTGGATTTGTTTAACACTTTGGTTACTACATGATTCCATGTGTGTTATTTTATAGTTCTGATGTCTTAACTATTATTATACAATGTAGAAAATAGTAAAAATAAAGAAAAACCCTTGAATGAGTAGGTGTGTCCAAACTTGAGACTGGTACTATATATATATATAGTAAAAACAATGTATTGTACATGCTGCCTACATGTATATATGTATCTCCCATTATGACAGTGCAGCAGAGGCAGTCATGGGATCTCTTGCATGAGTTTTAGAGGAATGTCCAGAGCGTGTGTTCTGCACCACTGGATTCAGTCCGTGATGGGAACGCTAGCAGACAGGCCTCTCCGAAGACCCGGAATCCCGTGTTCATGTGCCAACATTCCCAGAAGGCCTCAGTATTCCACCCCCCCCCCCCCCCCCCAAAGGGACATCATTCTAGGTTCCTCAGTTCTTAAAGAGCAGCTCATTTCTGTATTTTGATATGGTGAGGTAGGAAGTATCAGTCGTACCAAACCTGTCCATCTGGGGGTACGACTACGCTTCATGCAAGTTGGGTTATATACAGTATATTCACAATATCATCCACCCAGCCCTAAAAACACTCACCTCAGGCCTGCTAACTAAGTCCTCCACACGGTCAAAACATTCTCTTTCTCTATGTCAAGGATAAACAGCCTGTTGGGAGCAGCACCACAATGTGCATGAGTCACCCTCCCGCTGACTGACAGGCCTAGATATAGACATCACTACCATGCCTAATTAAAGGCACAGTGCAGACGTAATCTCAGAATGTTGACTGCACTGGGCTTTTTAAAGCTAGGCCCAGTTCTCCTGGCACCAGGATCAGTGATAATGGCCTGTACCCAGCTTCTCTGTCCTGATAGGACGAGCCGAGACAGGCTGGGGGAGACAGCAGTGGGAGGGAAAGGGCAAACCAAAGAGTTACATTGCACTGCTGCTGACATCACTGGAAGTAAAACCTGACTGACCGTCAGTCACATTAGCCATGTGGGTGGGATTCTTTAGCGTGAGTTCAATTAACTTGCCACGACCGTGTTATGAACTTCATGTACAGAATGGTGTCCAATGTAACTGCCAACGCATGTCTATGGTTCCACAGGGAGATGTGAGGCAGGCTCCAGACAAACACAGGACTGCTTCATCAGCAGAGTCCAGGGAGCACATGCAAACCACAGTTTCCTCAACCCCATGAATGCGTGCACATCAGTGCAGAGGCGAAGCATCTCATTTTGTGGTGTGTGTGTTTACCAGTGCAGCTGCGAGGTAGCCCATGCCGTTGTGTGTTAGCTGGTTGTTCCAGAGCACCAGGGTGACCAGGCCTTTCCTCTGTTCCTTCAGTCCTTCACAGACATAGGCCAGACCTGCACACCACACAGAGGGCGAGGTAGAGAGAGATCGAGAGGAAGGTTAGGGGTAATGGTTGAGCGTGGGGGTTGGTTTGTGATTAAAATGACATTTGTGGTTAGAGAATGCTGTTCTTCCGTTCTTCAAAACATGTCCAGATTATTTGTTACAAGGAAAGGAGAGACGGAGAGCAACTATTTTAGTATTTTGGACTGCAAGACGGAAAACTCAACACTGGGGTATGAGGTTGTCATGATGCGATAGAGAAGGTGAGAGAAACAGATGAGAAACAGAGAGAGAGA